TGGGATCCGAACCGGGGCCCTCTGGCATCCCAAGCGAGTTCTTAACCATCGCGCCACTCGGCCGGCCCAGGGCTCACACTCTTGAGTGAGCTCTTAAACAACTGAGCCACTCGGCTGGCCCAAAGGTGGAAAACATATGAACATTAGTGGGAAGTTTCAGCAGATAAATGGAAATCATAAGAAGCAAATAACAATAGGAGAAATATAAATGGATGCATTGGAAATGAAGAATTCCTGTGTCAGGCTCATCATTAACTTTGACACAGCCAAGGAAAGACTCAGTGAATGTGAGGATAGATCAACTAGAAATCACCCACAATGAAACACACAGACGAAAAAGTGCAAACAAACAAATAAAACACACAGAAACAAAGAGAGCAGAGGGTCCAAGAGCTATGTGACAATATCAAACAGTCTAGCATATGTGTAATTAGAGTCTTAGAAGAAGAGAGACGAAAATAATAATGCATAAAAAAATATTTGAAGGAATAAAGGCCAAGCATTTTGCAAAAAATAACAAATGACATCAAACCATAGATCCAAGAATCTTGGAGCACCTCAAGCAGGAGAAATACTAAATACCCCCATTTTGCTTATCCTCTCAAAGATGATGATGCAGCCAAAGTAAATATCCATACTTTTATTGAAGAGGCGAGATTGAGTGTTTTATCTACCTTTGCATAAGTTGTATGAAGGTAGAACTCTGAAGACTACCAAGAGCTTCTTTTTTCCATCTGCTGCTTTGTTGAATTTGTTTTCCACCTCTCCTATGTACTTGCTGTGTGATCATAGACTTATTACTTAAATCTCATTTCTTCCCTTAGAAAAAACAGTCTAATAATACAAAGTTGTTTTCAGAAAATATATTTGGAGAAACTAGCACCAAACTTGGCATAATTCTGTACTCTATGGTTCCTGTAACATAGGGCTGTGGGGACCATCTGCGAATCTACTCTCTCAGAGTTATGGGCAGGAGGTGAGCATGGGTTTCTCCTACTCTTAAGTCTCCATATTTATCTGAGGTTCTATGGCTTCTGTTCCTTATCATGGCTGGAGGAGAGGCGGGGAACAGGACGGGCCTTCTGTGGTGACTAACTTTTGTAGGCTATGTTCTTCAAATGTTGTCTTCTCTTTCCTAGCTTGGAGAATCATAGTTATCTAGTATGTTTGCTTTCTGGGGGCTAGGATGGGGAGGAAGCATTGGAGAATATTCTTCCTGGCCTCATCTTTTCCCCAAACTTTATTTTTACACCTAAACTGTTGTTTTCTAAAACATAAAAACAATAATTTTATTTATTTATTTATTTATTTGTTTGTTTGTTTGTTTGTTTGTTTGTTTGTTTTTGCTTTTCATTTTCTCCACTGATAGTCCACCTTTGCAGCAATACTTGTTTCTTGTTTCTGAGCCTGAAAGGGAGAATGTCACAGGGTTAAATAGACAAACACAAGAAAAGGGAGAAATAAAGGTACATCAGTATATTATATCACATACTATTATTGTCATTATTGATAAATTGCAATTATTTTAACAAACTTTTTCATTGTTCCAAAAAGCAATCCACCCCCATTGTATACATAAAAGCCAAGTAAAGCATGTTGTGAATACTGTGGCAATCATCTAGCAAACTCTTAAATTATTCATAACACATCTCCTGTATCATTCCAGTTCCTGGTTCTTATCCCTTAGTCTGGGGGCTTTCATATCTCTTAGTTTTGGTTTCCTTGCCTGGATTCTACATCTAACCTATTGACTGTTTCCCTCCTGACTGTCTCAACTAGGACACTTCATCCTTGTTCTGACCCCAGGGATTCAAATCTTAGCACAGACCCTTCCCAGCAAACATACAGGCTTTTTTCAAGTAGAGTGATAAAAGCATTTCAAAGGAACAAAGCTTCAACTTGCTCCACCCAAAGTAGTTTCTGTCTCTCACTCTCTTTTTCTTTCTTTCTCTCATTAAAAAAAAAAAAATCTGCTCCAAAGTATGCAAACATTTATTGTGAAACATATTTCCCCTTTTTGTATAAAAGAATATAAACACGTTGGCTGACATATGGGCCCATGTGTTTCTTCCCCAAGGTGTGAGAAGACTGGGAGCAGCATATGTGCCAGGTGATGGAGAGCTTGCCACAGCGCAGGTGGGAGTGTTGCTGTCTTGTGAAACAGGTGCACAAAAGCCCGTGTGAATAGAAGGCCCTGTGAAATGAAATTATGATTACTCTGACCCACAAGTGCTAATACAGGACTATTAAGTTCAGATTCAACTCTGTTTATTTAGCACCTTCCATGTGAACTTAGTGGACTTTAGGACTTAAATTACAGAAATCGCCTTGCAGGATGGAAATCATACCCACACAGTTGAGAGTCGAGGACTCGAAGAAATTAGGTGAACTGTCTATAGTGAGTGTTGTCAAGTTTTAGCATCATAAGAATCACCAGGAAGTCCATGGAAACACAGGTTACTGGGCATGACCTGCCTCCCCATCCCAGAGTTTCTGACTCAGCAGTTCTAGGGCAAGGCTTTATAATTTGCATGTCTAACATATTCCCAGGTGATGCTGCTGCTTCTGGTCCACACTTTGAAAACCATGATTCTAGCATGAAATGCGCAGTGCAGAGGTCAAAAACCCTGATAAACTGCAGTATAAAACATCAGTGCTGTTAGCCAAAACCATGAAAGCCACATCCATTATTATCCTCAAGAGGTAGAATGGATACAGGGTAGAACATTGGATACCATGCCAAGCAAGCCAGAGTGGTGCTAGGAGTGAGGAGCCAAGTCAAAGGGCTTGAAGTGATTGCCACAGTCGCACCCAAACTCCCCACAATAGGGTTTAAATGGATGCCAGAGATGGGGTGTTGGGGTGAGTCCATCAGGGTTTAAATGTACAGGATTAGAATGGTCAGGACAAGATACCAGTTTTTGACTTTCAAATATGTCATTCTTACTGTTCCTTTGTCATAGGGTAAACTCAGATTACACCAAAAGTCAATAATTCCAAACAGAAATGAACAGTGTGTGTGTGTGTGTGTGTGTGTGTGTGTGTGTGTGTGTTAATAAGAATAGGTGAGATTCTTTTCAATTCATATGTTGAAGTTCCTCTGAGTATGAGCATCCCATTGGTTATTGGTGGAAGAATGAGTTCAAGACTAAAAGTAACTGTCTGTGACTTTGAAAATCTCAGACTCGAGTGAGACATGCCTGCCCCAAGTCAAACTATCACAGGTGGCAAGAGGAAGGAGGGATTTAATTAATTCTAATTTGAGAAGTGGTGTCCGAGAGGGGAGACTTTCTCATGGAAGAGGTGACATTTAAGTGCACCTGAAAGATGAGCAGGAATTTTAGTGGACACTTGAAGAAAAACCGTCGTCTAATATGTGGAAGGAAAAATATTTTCCTCTTCCAGTAAGGAATAACATTCTACCTTAGACTCACGTCCATCTGTATTGGAGGAAAACTATATTTTTGTTCATTTTAAAAAGACTTCCAAAATGAAGGCCAATATATAGGAGAGGAGACCGTTGGAAAAAAACACATTTTACAAAGGCAAAAATTCTCCCTGAGTAGAAAGCATTTTGTTTTGTCCTTATCTCTTTCCCCTTACATCCCTCAAAGGGCATTTCATCTAGAGCTGTCGAATTTCCTGAATTCCACTGTGTGTTTGCACAAACTTTTTAGAGTCAGAGTGTGAAACAAAGAAAGTTTTGTAACTTAGAGGCATCCTTTTTCATTCTACAGATAATATACTGGTTGGAAGAATTAGCTGTTAGTATTACTAGTAGTAAAATACAACAATTATGATATGTATTATTTATAACTTCCATTAATGGACTTATATTAGTCTGCTAGGGCTGCCATAATGAAATACCACAGATTGAGTGGCATAAATTTATTTTTCACAGTCCTGGAGGCTGGAAGTCCAAGATCAAGGTGCCAGCAGGGTTGGATTCTGGTGAGAATCCTTTGCCTGGCTTGCAGACTCTCCCCGTGTCTTCACATGGCCTTTCCTCTGTGCACACGTGAGGTCTCTTCCTTTTCTTAGAAGGACACCAATGCTATCAGATTAGGGCCCCAAACATATAGCTCCATTAACCTTAATTACCTTCTGAAAACTCTATCTCTAAATGTGGCCACTTTGGTAGTTAGGGCTTCAATGTATGAATTTGGGGGCAGCACAATTTAGTCTATAACTTCCTCAAGGTCAGATACCTTATTTAGCTTATTTTATTTCCCCCACTGTATTTCCAATGCCATTTCCTAGTACATGTAAATCATTTGACTCGAATGTAATTTACATTTACTCTCTCAGTAAATCACCCCAACAACATGATGAGATGGGCAGGGCCAATATGAATATTACCCCAAATTTGCACATGAATAACCATGGCTCTGAGTATGTATATAGCATATACCAGGTACTGTTCTAAATTCTACATGAGTTAACTAATATTATTCTTATTATAATAATAAGGAATTGAAGCCCAGAGAGGTTAAGTAATAGCCCAATTATTTAAATGGCAGAATCCATATCCAATCTTCAGTAGCCTGGCTCCGGAGCTCATGCTCTTAATCACTATATTACATGTCTTCCCCTGAGGGCCACAGAAGTCATGTAATTTGCCCAAGATTTCTTATTTTGCACTTATATTAGTTTCCAAGGGCTGCTATAACAGGTTACCACAGACTTGGTAGCTTAAAACTGCAAAAATTTATTCTTTCACAGTTTTATAGCTCAGGAGTCCAAAATCTAGATATTAGCAGGGCCACACTTCCTCCCAAGGATCCAGGGGAAAAAATATGTCCCTTGCCTCTTCAACTTCCGGTGGCTCCAGGCATTCCTTGACATGTGGCTGCATTTCTCCAATCTCTGCTTTCATCTTTACATAGCCTTCTGCTCTCTTTGTCTGTCCTCTGTGTGTCTCTTATAAGGACACTTGTCGTTATACTTAGGGCCCACCTAGATAACCCAGGATGATCTCATCTCAATAATCTCATCTCTCAATTATAGCTGCATAGACATTTTCCCAAATAAGTTCACATTCACAGGCTTTAGGGGTTAGCATGAGGACATATCTTTTGGGGGACTACCATGCCGACCACCACAGCACCAAGAGCAAGGGACTATATGGAGTAGCAGCACTTCTTTCCTGGGAACTTTTCTTCATACTTCCTCCCCAGTCTCATCCAATGGGTACATGGTTCCCAATGTGTGAAACATGCCCAACCCTTGGCCACAGCTAGTTGACTCATGGTGCACACTAATAACTCAAACTAATCCAAGATGTACCTTTCCTAAGAAGTTTTGGCTTGGGGGTCAAGAAAGAAAATCAACAGAAACAGATTTTTTTTTTTTTTTTAGTTTGATTTCTCTTGGCAGCCATGTTTTTCATCAGGGCAGAGACTAGGGTGAGGCAAGTAGGGCACCTGGGACACAAAATTTAGGAGTCAGCACTTCCAGAGCCCTGGAAGTGAGGGCCTCATTAAATTTTAGGCCCAGTATGCCTCCCTGCCTCGCCCTAATTCTGGCCCTGTTGCTCAGGATGAGCACCAGAGGATTAGAGGAGACCAACATGAAGAGAGAGAGAGAGTGAAGAGGAGAGGAGAAAGAGAGCATAAATGGACCTCCAAAGAAATGCAGTCATGGGAAAGAGTCCTGGTGGCATTCAAGCCACTGGTTCTAGTTTTCTTGAGCCTTAGTGGTATGATTTCTGTAATTTGTTTCTGTGCTTGTTATTTCTCAAGATGAAGCTGAGGCAAAGAAAGGATTGTGATTTCCGTGAAGCCATAGTACCCATTACTCAGGTCTCTATGTGCTAACATCTGTGTGATGGATGAGGTTATCTCTTACAGATGTGAAACTGATTCTCCTGCATTGCTTTATCATGAACTATTTCTCTCTTGTCTTTTCAGCTTATAGACAGTTAGATACTTTAATTGATGGTTTAAGAAAATCTATATGAGCACCAACAATTATACTGTGCCTTCAGGAACTAATTAAATACATTTTGTTATTTTTACCACATGCCACGTGGCCCAGAATGCTGTGCTTTTATTATTCTGTTGCTGATTTTCATCATCTTCCTTTTTTTTCCATCTGTACTTTTGAATATACCTACTGCTTCTAATATGATATTTTCAGTATTTTAGAAAATCAAAGAAGGAAGAAATTAGCATAGACTAATTAACACTTTTTTTTAGTTTATCATAAAAAAATATATTAATTCCTTCTGCAAACTCTTAATCTCACTCTGACCTCAGGGGAGTCCTCCTGCATCAGACAGAAAATAAAAAGTCCTAAATAAGACCATCATAACACAATGCTTCCTCCCCCCCCCCCACAGAATAGAACCTTTAGTGGAAAAAGAGAGAAATGATAGAAAGTATTGAATGAGGCAGATTTTCTTTTGT